TATGCCTGTAATCTCTGCTACTTAGGAGGCTGAGCTAGGAGAATTGCTTGAACTCGGGAGGCAGAGGTTGCAGTGAGCCGAGATTGTGCCACTGCACTCCAGCCTGGGCAACAGAGTGAGACTTTGTCTCAAAAAAAAAAAAAAAAAAAAAGAGTCAATCTTTGTGGGAGGGGAATCCCACAAGTGCCGTGGCAAGGGTCTGAAGTCTCAGCCTATTCCCATATGAATATAGATTTAGAAAAGAATTAAAAATATAAGCACATAGTTATTCCTTTATATAATCATATATAATCAATATAACCTTTAATTTTATTAATGATTATCGGGTTATGAAGCATGGAACTGAGGTGACATTATGAACAAAGTGATCCTAAGGCAGTATGCTCTAAGCCCTCTGTCATGCCTGCATAAGGGCTGCTGGAGGGCACCTCGTCTGTCCGGCATTGCCAGCACTGTGAAGGTGCCTGCTGTTTAGCCAGCTAGGGAAGGGGATGTCCAAAATGGCCGAGACATCTCCTTCCTGGGGGAATTAGGAGAAAACTCCGCTCCTCCAAGCTCTTGTGGTAAGGCCTGACGGCTGTCAGGTACCCCCACAGACGTCCGGGTGCTTAACTATCTCTATGTGATGCTAGGCTTCAGTGGTCACGTTCCATGTCCACTCTCACGCTCCACTTGTGCACCTGGTTTCTCTTTTTCTCAGAAGATGAGAATTAATAATAGTAACACAATCTTTTTTTTTTTTTTTTTTTTTTTTTTTTTTTTTGAGACAGAGTTTCGCTCTTTCTTGTTACCCAGGCTGGAGTGCAATGGCGCGATCTCGGCTCACTGCAACCTCCGCCTCCTGGGCTCAGGCAATTCTCCTGCCTCAGCCTCCTGAGTAGCTGGGATTACAGGCACGCGCCACCATGCCCAACTAATTTTTTGTATTTTTAGTAGAGACGGGGTTCCACCATGTTGACCAGGATGGGCTTGATCTCTTGACCTCGTGATCCACCTGCCTTGGCCTCCCAAAGTGCTGGGATTACAGGCGTTAGCCACCGCGCCCAGCTTATTATTATTATTTTTTAGAGATGGGGTTTCACAATATTGGTCAGACTGGTCTCAAACTCCTGACCTCAGGTGATCCACCCACCTTGGCCTCCCAAAGTGCTGGTATTACAGGCTTGAGCCACCACACCTGGCTGTGTCTTTTATTTCTACAGTTTCTTGTCTCTGCACCAGCAGGGAGGGGCTCACAGAACCCTGTAGGGCTCGACCCTACAAATCTTGACTTGCAGAGGAAATACAAGCCCAGTGGGGAAATTGGCCTTATCCTCTTGTCTACGCAGCCCCTGTATAGGGTTCCTGACCTATGGTCAGTAAATCATGTCACTTTCTAACAGGTCCAGGAGCTCCAAGTTTATCCTGGGACCTGAAGAGGAGAGGATCACCCAACAAAAGGTTTATCCTGGGACCTTAAGAGGAGAGGATCAGCCTAGCTCATGGCTGGGCTTGGCTTTAAAAGGTCTTATCTGAGATTCTCTGTGGAACAGAGTTTCATCAAAGCCAATCCAAAAGGCCCATGTAGAAATAATTATTCTTGCTGCACTTTATGCAAATAACCAGATCTAGTATGACACTAAAATCTATTTTGCAAACAATTGAGTCCTATCATAATTTCCTTTATTTATTTATTTATTTATTTTTTAACAAAAATGAGGACCGGAGCAAAATTATGTTCCAAAACTTATACATTTGCCATTCATTTCTTAAGTTGTTTTTGTTTTTGTTTTTTGAAACGAAGTCTCACTCTGTTACCCAGGCTGGAGTGCAGTGGCACGATCTTGGCTCGCTGCAACCTTTGTCTTCCAGGTTCAGGCAGTTCTGCCTCAGCATCCTGACTAGCTGGGATTACAGGCGTGAGCCACCATGCCCAGCTAATTTTTCTATTTTTAGTAGAGACAGGGTTTCACCATGTTGGTCAAGCTGGTCTTGAACTCCTGACCTTGTGATCCTCCCGTCTCAGCCTCCCAAAGTGCTGGGATTACAGGTGTAAGCCACCGCGCCGGCCTAAATTCAGTTGTTTTGAAGTTTTTGCCTACATTTTTAGACTAACCTTGCTTGTTTGTGTGAACCAACCGGCAATCTCCAGCTGTAGCTTAGAAAGAACAAGAGAGATGGGTAATGTAAAAAATCTGGATTAGTATTCTCGTTGTGAGCGATTAGCCTGCAAATTCTGCCAGGTGATGGGAATAAATAGGTTGCCCATCATTCAGAGGTTTCCTTTTGGGAAAGGAAGACCAAGGAAGCTAATGAAAGCCAAGCACCATTCATCCAAATCCTAGCAAGCATAACTATAACCACCAGCTATCTGGGTGTGTCACAAGACATCCTTTTCTCTCCCTTGTTGGAGGACTCAGTTCCACAGTTTTACCTTAGCATTCCGCTTATAAGGAGTCCATGCAATCCCCAACTCCTCAGCATAAATGAGGTCTAGGGAACTCCAAGACTACTGACAGCAGGGATGATAAGGGCGTACATGGGTAACCCAGGTAATTCCCACCCGCTAGACCCCTGCTTCATGATGCAAGCCCCTCTGGCACCCATGGGAGCCCTTGCCAAGGTGGCCAGGACTCGGGGATGCAAGGATGGAAGAGGGAAAGAGGACGCTTTCTTCTCTCCCTCGCGTACCCCAGGTATCTACTAGGAAGAGAAGGGAACCAGGGATGCCTGCCCCCCACTTTCTAGGTGGGTAGCCGTTCATCTTCATCTGCACCGCTTTCAAATACATCTTGAAGCCCTGGGACTCCTTTGAAAAAATGCCTTCTTTTAACCTTTCTCCTCCTTGGTTCTTGCCTCATAGACAGGTAATTGTTTCCATACTACAGGACACCCCCTCAGATGCATCCTCCAAGTTGGAAAGAGTTAATTTCCCAAACCTTAAACTGGATTGGTTTTAGGAGAAGGGAACTCAGAAGTCCAACATGCCAGCAAAAGGGTAAAGTTGCTTACCATTTGGACTTTTGCCCCCCTGCGCCCCGGCCCCCCGTACAAATTGATAAAAGGCCTCAGGAATTTTGAGCTGTCCTTAGGCCTCCTCTTGTTTCATTTAAAAAAGAAATTTTTTTTAAGACGGGCTCACTGTTGCTTAGGCTGGCATGCAGTATTGAGACCTCCGCACACTGTGACCTCCGCCTTCTAGGTTCAAGCGATTCTCCCGCCCCAACTTCCATAGTAGCTGGGAGTACAGTCAGGCGCCACCAACGGTTGGCTAATTCTTGTATTTTTAGTAGAGACAGGGTTTCACCATGTTGGCCAGGCTGGTCTTGAACTCCTGACCTCAAGTGATCCACCCACCTCAGCCTCCCAAAGTGCTGGGATTACAGGTGTGAGCCACCACGCCAAGGCCCCTTGTTTAATTTTGAGACATGCTTTTAAATAACCTGGTTTGTCTCTTTTCGCCTTCAGGCCATCAAACTCGGACCGGTCTTGCAACTGGAGCCTTGGACCATCGCCCCTTCTGCTGGGGACCCTTAGATAAGCCTCTGAGGGAGATCTGACTGCCATTCTCCCAAAACAGAGCCACCTGTCGGCAGGAAGCAGTTTAGATCGGTCTTTGGCCCTATCCTTATCCTTATTCTAATGGCAGTGAGATTGACTTCTTTAGGGGGTGGGAATGAGATAGCCAGGTGGGAAGGGCTCCCTGGCAAAACTCCAACTGGCTTGTGTGCTGGGAGGAGTGCGCCCTTGGGCCTGGGGCGGAGCCACAGAAGTTCGCTTCTCCGTTTGCTGCGGGGAGGAGCCTGGCCCCTCCTCTTCCTCGTTGGCACCTGGGATTTAATCTGTGAGGAGGGTCCCTGTTCCCCCTTTTCTTCCTTTTTACCCAATAAAACCCTGCCTTACCCTTCAAATTGTCTGCATAATGTTTCCTGGGATGTGACAAAGGACCCCATCCATCTTTAGCTGAAGTAAGGAAAAGTCCCCCAACATTTGCATGTGTACCTTTGTATTTTTAATATATATATGGATGTCCCTAAACAACATATAGTATGGTTTTGCTTTATATAAGTTATTACAAGGCATTCTGCAATTTGCATTGTCCCCAGCCTTGTTTTTTGAGATTCATCCACGTGGGTGCGGGAAGCTGTAGAGCACGTCCCCTGCTGTAGGGCGGTTTGTCTGTTTTCTAGCTGGTGGACATTCAGCTTGTTGACAAGGTTTTGCAATTACAAAGCACCTTTGCTACAGGTTACTGTACCTGTCCCTCATACTTTTGACAGCGTCTCCCGGCATACAGCCAGGAGTGGGTGTGCAGACTTCTCGGCCCGCTCCCTTCCACTTCATCAGCCTGGCCGGGGGCTCTTCCAAGAGGTGGGACCGCTTGGTGACTTCTAAGCCGTGCCTCTCTTTCTGCGTAATAAACGCCTCGAGGGCAGGGACTTTGCAGTCTTGCTTACTGAGGCGTTTTCCAAAACCGGGACCGAGGACTCTGACACCCTTGCGGAGGGTGGAGGGTTGCCGGCGGGCTCCGGGGTTTGGCAAAATGCAGCTGGGGGAGGCGGGGCGGGGAGGAAGTCTCCGGGCCTGCCGCGGCCTCTCTTAGGGACGTTTCTCCTCCGGAGGACAAACTCCCCGCACAGGGGCGCGAAGCCTCGACTTCTTTCTCGGCCAACTTCCCCAGGGCAGGACCTAGCATGGCCCGGCCCCGCCCCTGGGCTCCCCCCGCCCCCGGGCGCCTCCCCCTCCCGCGGTGAGTCAGGCGGCGGTGACGGCAGCGGAGGGGGCGATGACGGGCGAGCGGGCGGCCGCGGCGGAGCAGCGCAGGGCGGAGCGCGGCGGGCCGGCAGGGGCGGCCGAGCGGGCGGTGGGCATGGCCGGCGCGGGCTGGGCGCTGGCCGCGCTGCTGCTGGCGGCGTCGGTGCTGAGCGCTGCGTTGCTGGCCCCCGGCGGCTCCACGGAGCGCGACGCCCAGGGCTCACCGCCACGAGGTGAGTGCGCGCCTCCTCCCGCCGCCCGGCCGACTCCGAGCGCGGCGTCACCTCCCCGCGGCACCGCCCCTCCCTTCGTGCGCGGGCGCCGACCGCCAGGCCCGGCCGGAACCGCCTCCACTCCCTGAGCTGTCGCTGCGACTCCGCGGTCTCGCGCCCCGGACCGGAGGCCGGACTTAAGGCCGCGGCGGCCGGGCCCCCGCAGAGCCGGGGGAGGGGACGGTTCGCGCCGTGGCAGAGCGTAACTGGGGCTCCCAGGCGGCGCCCGCTCGAGCGAAGCCTGCGTCCTGGCGCCTTCTGTCTTAACAGAGGCCTTGGATCGGGATGCCGGCAACCCCCACACGCGCAGCCAGGAGGCAGGCCAGCCGAGGGCCGGGGGGCTCGGACTCCGCTGGCACCCAGTCCACTGTTCGGAGGAACTTAAAGCAGGTTCCCCTCCCGAGGGCCTCGACCCCGAGGACGTGGCGCGGAAGCCGTGCGACCCATTGGCTTCAGCGGATGGGAAGCCCGAGGCTGGAACGCGAGTTCGCCCGCCCGCGCTGGGGTTGAACCCGCGTCGATGGCCTGCAACCTGCAGTCTCGTCCCGGGCGAGCCCTCCCTGGCCCCTCCTCTGGGTTCGTTTTCTCTCCAGGGTGACAGGGAAGCGGCCGCCGCCGAGTCCGGGTCGCGGGCTGGGAGGGGCCCGGCGGGGCTGGGCTCTTGTCCCGTGCGCTGGCAGGAGAGGCGCTCAGCTCAGCTCGTGTTTGCACAACTGGCTATCTCTCCGAACTCGCTTGGGAAAACGGTGACAAATACAGATTCCAGGCCTCTAGGCCCCTGGACCGGGGAGCCCCAGCTCCTGGGAGGTCTTTGGCACACACCCCTCCGCGAGGGGTCCAGCAAGCACCGCAAACCCCTTTGGGTCAGTGCTTGATGAGGGTCCATACCTGGAACGGTGGGAGTCATCTGCCTTTCCCCTTCCACGCCCTTTTCTTGGTTAGAATACGAGGTTTTAGTGTCTGTGTGTGGAGTTCAAACAGCCCCTCCTCCCCAAGCAGAAGCTGGAGGAAGACATCATGAATTTTGGAAAAGCGGCTCAGCAGATTACATTTTGTGTGCTTGTTCCCTGCTCCACTCAGCCTCAATCTTCTGCTCTCCCCTCATTGCAAGGACCCCGGGGAGGTTATGTAATCTGCCCGATCACAATCTGTCAGGGACAAATCCCGTCAAACACTCTTTGATTTTTTAGCACCAGTGTTAGCTTATCCAAGGGCACTTACTTTAGGGAAAGGTGGTCTGTAAATAGTAATCACATGTAGTGATGGGAAGCCGCGTGTGGCTGCAAGGCTTCCCCTGCCGCCTGAATCCCATGTTTGGGCTGCACAGCTTTCTGCTAAAAACATCATTATCTGCCCTCTTTTTGAAAATTCAATATTTACTTGAAAAAGGTAGAATTTGTCTTTAAAAATATGTCCCGCAAAGATAAGATCAGAGAGCTAGAACCAGAAATTAAATATTGGGAAAGGAAATAAAGGTGTAACATTTACCCCCGCACTATTGAAAGGTGACTTTATTTGGTTATTTGCTTATGAAGACGACGGAGACCAGAGGAGAGGGAAGGAATGAATTGTTCTTTTGTCTGTAACGCTCTGTGGGTATTGCCCTTGAATTTTTTAGCTTAGATGTGTGGGATGGTGACAGCTTTTTCTTTTTTCTTTTTTTTCTTTTTTTTTTTTTTTTTGAGACGGAGTTTCGCTCTTGTCACCCAGGCTGGAGTGCAATGGCGCGATCTCGGCTCACCGCAACCTCCGCCTCCTGGGTTCAGGCAATTCTCCTGCCTCAGCCTCCTGAGTAGCTGGGATTACAGGCACGCACCACCATGCCCAGCTAACTTTTTGTATTTGTGGTAGAGACGGAGTTTCACCTTGTTGACCAGGATGGTCTTGATCTCTTGACCTCGTGATCCACCCACCTCCGCCTCCCAAAGTGCTGGGATTACAGGCTTGAGCCACCACGCCCGGCGGCAGCTTTTTCTTGATGCTGAACATCAAGCTCAGTTTCGAGGTCATATTTGATGGCTTAGTAATTGGGTCCTTTGGTCGTGTCTGTAAGTGATACAAACTGTTATTATTATTTTTAAAAACCACATTCAAATAATTCATAGTAAAAAGAAAGGTGTCAAAATCCACTAGCGTTATTCTGACAGTCTCTGGCTGTGGTCTTCACCCTTGGCTGCACACTCGAATCCGTTTGAGAGGTTCGTTGTTTTTTGTGGGAAATTTTAAAAATCGCATTGATTGGGCAGAGATTCTGATTTAATTGGTCTGGAATGGGACCAGGGTTGTTTTTTTAAAGCATCCTCAGGTAATTCTGATATTCAGCGAGGACTGAGCCCCTCTGTACATTCCCGAATAGCATAGTAACATGACAATGAAGAGCTTTCAGCCTAAAATTCATGTGGATAATCGAAGTATAAAACAAGTACCTATTCCACCCACCACTAGAGGCTCAGGGAAACGAGTTAAAAACGGTACTTACTCCATCTACAAAGGGATGATGATGTGTGGGAAAATTATGAAGGAAAAGATCATGGCTTCATGGCCTCTTGGCTATGATCAAGTATAGAAAAAAGTCCTACACTTGAGAGTGACTAGAAATTTGAAAGTGAAGCCATTAAAGCTGAAGAAGGAAAATGAGAAACAACTATTTTAAAATGATGACAAATTGACAAAGGATTTAAGATTTTTGTCTTTAATGTAGTTATGCAAACACCTCAGAAGGCCTCAGGGATTAAATAAAGGTGGTTAAATAAATAATTCAAGAATTCATATGAAAGATGCTTACCGATGGTAAACATTTGAAAAACATGTTGAAACTTGTTCATCACAAACTCAAAATGCAAATAATTAGGACATGCCATTTTCTATCCACCAGGCTAACAAATGAGGGAAACATGGAAAGGCTAGTCAGGCTGGGCTAAGGGGATCTATCTGCCAAGGCTCAGGAGACTGGTTAGGTGCATGGTTAGATGGACCTCAGCTTGAATCCTGGCTGCCAGTAGGTGACCTTAGGCAAGCCGTTTGACCTCTCCAGGCCTCAGTGCCTCATCCCAAAATGGAGACACCAGGAGCTATTTCTTAGGGCTGTTGGGGTCTGGCAGACAGTAAGTGTAGTTCTTTGTATTACCTGGGAGATCTCAACCATCACAGTTGTCATTAGATATAAGCACAACTGGCTGGGTGCGGTGGCTCACGCGTGTAACTTCAGTACTTTTGGAGGCCAAAGCAGGCGGATCACAAGCTCAGGAGATCGAAGAATATCCTGGCTAACAGGGTGAAACTCCTGTCTACTAAAAATACAAAAAATTAACTGAGCACGGTGGCACACACCTGTAGTCCCAGCTACTTGGGAGGCTGAGGCAGGAGAGTCTCTTGAACCTGGGAGATGGAGGTTGTAGTGAGCTGAGATCGCACCACTGCACTCCAGCCTGGGCGACGGAGCGAGACTCCATCTCAAAAAAGAAAAAAGAAAAAAAAAAGAGAAATCAGCACAACTATTGGAGGGAAATTTCGTAATGCATATCAGAAGCTATTCAAAAGCCTGTTTTTGGTTAAAGATTTTACTCTTGGGTCTGGTGTGGTGGCTCACACCTGTAATCCTAGCACTTTGGGAGGTCATGGTGGACGGATCGCTAGAGCCTAGGGTGTCAAGACCAGCCTAGGTAACATGGTGAGACCCTGTGTCTATAAAAAAATACACATGCACGCACGCGCACACACACACACACACACACACACACTAGCTGGACATGCTGGCCTGCTCCTGTAGTCCCAGCTACTTTGGAGGCTGAGGTGGGAGGATTGCTTGAGCTCGGGAAATTGAGGATGCAATGAGGCGAGATCATGCCATTGCACTCCAGCGTGGACAACAGAGTGAGACTCTCTCTTGGAAAAAAGAAAGGAAAAATTTAACTGGATGTTCCCAATCCTGAAAAGGCTCTATTGGCTTCTGCCTTGGTTGGATGTGGCCTGAATCACCGTAACGTCCGTGTGTTCAGCACTTGTTTTGTTTCTGTGCCAAGCACTTCGTAGTTAGTCAAGTTTAGCTTTCCCAACAGTCTCATGAGGCACATACTCTTATGACCTCTAATTTATTGGTGAGGAAACTGAGGCACATTGGGGTTCAGATTCAGGTTTAACTTGAATTTATCCCACTATGTTATACCCCAGGTCCCAAACACTGCTTCCACTGAAAGCTCTCCAGGAGACCAAAGAACAGAAAAAATGATTGTGAAAGCTTTCTTTGGCCTAGAGAATAAAAAGCTATAGTGGATTATTGAAAGTTTTATACTGCAGGGCTTGTCTTCCCTGAGCGCTAAATAAGGGTAAATTAAGATAAACTTTAAAATGAGGGATTGAGCTGGCTACATGAAGAATTTCTGTTTTTGCCATTCAAATGAGTGACTAGAGAGCCCAGACGAAGCTTTCACCTTCCTCATTGTGTTATTAAATAGTTCCCCATTTTTTTCTTTTGGGTAAATTTACTTAGAGAACAAATCGACTTCTCTTCTATATAATATTATATAAATGGCCCAGTTGGTTGAAATAAACCACTTTGCTTTGACTTTAGACAAGAGCAGTTCTCTTTATTTTTCCTACCAAGTTGGCACACATGATTTTAGAATGCACATCATCTTTCTGTCATCCTCAGCACATCATGTAGTGAACTGGTGAGCAGTGTAATAAGTGAATCCAGGAGCAGTGGGTCTCTCTGCCCTTCAGATTGAGGCTTGTCTTGAAACTCTCTCCTTACTCCTCTCTGATCTGCCATGGAAATTAGGCGGTTCCAAACTCCAAAGTGATAGAAAGTAGCACTTCTCAAACTTTCGAGGACGTGCACCCCACCTCTGGGTCCTGCTAACCTGCGCTCTCTGACTCAGGCGGGTTCTGTATTTCTAACAAGCTGCCTGGCTGTGCTCGCAGCTGAGTAACATGGTAAGGGAGAAAGCTTGAACTTTAGAATCACACAAATTGGATTTATGTCAGTGATTTCATTGAAAAACCATGGACACAGGCAGTTACCTAATTCTTGAGAGGCTTAATTTATTCATCTCTAAAGTGGGGAAAATACCTAGCTCATGAAATTGTCATTATTATAGGGAAACTACTAAATTTGGCACATGTCACATCTTAGCACTTGACGAATATAAGTTCCTTACAGGATCCTCCTATGCACTAGATATGAGTGGTGTTGAGTGAATCCTCTTTTGCAGTAGAGACATCTATGCAAAAGGAAACCTGTCTGTGTGTGTGTAGTGTGTATGCATATGCATGCATGCACTCACATCTGTGCATACACGAAGTAATGCGTGAGAGACCCCAGAAACCCTAGAGTGTAGGCTTTCGAAAAGCACTACTGGAAGCCACTGTTCACATAAATGTACTTTGTCTCTAATGCCTCTTTCGGGTGCCTTCTTTTTCTTTTTTTAAAATTTTCCTAATTTTTACCAGACTTAGACAAAAAAAGACATGTGGAGCTCAAGATGGATCAAGCTTTGCTACTCATCCATAATGAACTTCTCGGGACCAACCTGACTGTCTACTGGAAATCTGAATCCTGTTACCATGTATGTATCAGTTCACACTCACAGTTCTGTTTGCTTTGGGACTTGTTTGATAGGATCCTTAACGCTCTCATATCTAAAGCCCTTGACAAGTTAACTTCAGTTTTACTAGGTAAGGAAACAAAGAAGCTATGTAAAGAATCAGAAGAAATATAGTCGAGGAAGGATGCCTAGCAATGCGCACCTTCTATTTTTATCTTTTCATCTACTCATCCTTTAAAAAAAAACAGTTCTCCCTGATGAACAACACTGATGGACCGTGTTTTATTCCCCTCTTCTCTAGTGCATAACCCTCTTGCTGGACCAGAGAAGAAACGAGTGGGACACCAGGGTTTTCTCCAGCAGAGTGGGCAGCCAGCAGGGAGGTGCAAGTTGAGGGAGTGACACTTATTCCAGGGCCCTGCCTCCCTGATGATAGCAAACACATTTTCTCTGAAGGTCTTACTCCTGTTCTAGACCTCGTTGCTTTTTAAGGACAAGGCTGTTCTTTCATGTAAAATAAAATACTCTACTGTGCAACCATAAGAAAGAATGAAATTAGATCGTTTGCAGCAACATGGATGCAGGTGGAAGCCATTATTCTAAGTGAATTAACACAGGAACAGAAAGCCCAATACTGCATGTTCTCACTTCTTAGTGGACCTAAGCATTGGGTACTTATGGACATAAAAGGTGGGAGTAGTAGGCACTGGGCACTACTTGGGTTGCAGTACCCGACTAGTACTGAAAAACTTTGGTACTGTAGCCTGAGTAGTACCTATAGGGATGAAAAACTACCTGTTGGGTACTGTGCTCACCACCTGGGTGACAGGATCACTCATGCCCCAAACTTTAGCATCATGCAATATACCCATGTAACAAACCTGCATATGTGCCCCTGAATCTAAAATAAAAATTTAAATTATAAAATAAAATATTTTTGCCATTTTATTAGTGTGAGCCACCACACCTGTAGTCGCAGCACTTTGGGAGGCTGAGGCAGGCGGATCACCTGAGGTCAGGAGTTTGAGACCAGCCTGACCAACATGGAGAAACTCCATCTCTACTGTAAATACAAAATTAGCCAGGCATGGTGGCGCATGCCTGTAATCCCAGCTACTCGGAAGGCTGAGGCAGGAGAATCGCTTGAACTGGGTAGGCGGAGGTTGAGGTGAGCCGAGATTGCGCCACTGCACTCCAGCCTGGGCAACAAAAATGAAACTCCATCTCAAAAAAAAAAAAATAAATATTTTTATTGCCAAATTGAGAGCTTCATTATACCTACCATCAGAGGATGAATTTTAATTTATATTGAGTGACTGTTTACTATAAATGGCCTTAAAAAACAAACTTAAAATCTCTGGTATGGGCATCAGCTGAAAAGATGATGGACATACCTTCTCTATTTGAATAAACCTATTGAAATATCTGTAAAGTAATATGAAGCAAGAAAACATTGGGTGTAGTGGCTCATGCCTGTAATCCCAGCACTTTGGGAGGATGAGGTGGTTGGATCATGAGGTCAGAAGCTCGAGACCAGCCTGTCCAATGTGGTGAAACCCCTTTGCTACTAAAAGTAAAAAAATTAGCCAGGCATGGTGACCTGTGCCTGTAGTCCCAGCTACTTAGGAGGCTGAGACAGGAGAATTGCTTGAACCTGGGAGTTGGAGGTCGCAATGAGCTGAGATTGTGCCACTGCACTCCAGCCTGGATGACAGAGTGAGACTGTCTCAAAAAAAAAGAAAAAATCTATTAAGAAAAAGTAGCTTAAACAAAGAAAAAAGTATCAGCCTACAAGACGAACCCAAAGGAATCTTGAAAATAATCAACAATAGCTAAAATTAAAAAGTGACAGGAGTCAGATAATTCAGTGAATGGGCAAAATGTCTTCTAAAAAGACTTAATAAAGCTCTAAGATCCACAGAAAAACAAGTTGAGGGGGGAAAAAGACTGTTGTCAAGGTGTTAGATGTAGGGCAAGTAAGACCATCACTAGAATAAAGCAAGTAGTATCATTGGCATGCAACAATGATGCTGTGGACAAATTAAAGAATTAAAAAACAGGCCAGGTGCAGTGGCTCACGCCTGTAATCCCAGCACTTTGGGATGCTAAGTCTAGTGGATCACCCGGAGGTCTGAAGTTTGAGACCAGCCTGGCCAACATGGTGAAACCCCATTTCTACTAAAAATACAAAAAATTAGCCAGGCATGGTGGCGGGCACATGTAATCCCAGCTGCTTGGGAGGCTGAGCCAGGAGAATTGCTTGAATGTGGGGGCAGAGGGTGAGGGTGGAGGTTGCAGTGAGGCAAGATTGTGCCATTGCACTCTAGCCTGGGCAACAAGAGCGAAACTCTGTCTCAAAATAATAATAAAAAAAAGAATTAAGAAACAAGACGGGTGCGGTGGCTCACGCCTGTAATCCTAGCATTGGGAGGCCAAAGCGGGTGGATCATGAGGTCAGGAGTTCAAGACCAGTCTGGCCAGCATGGTAAAATCCCATCTGTACTAAACATACAAAAATTAGCCGGGCATGGTGTCATGTGCCTGTAATTCCAACTACTTGGGAGGCTGAGGCAGGAGAATAGCTTGACCCTGGAAGGAGGAGGTTGCAGTGAGCCGAGATCATACCACGGCACTCCAGCCTGGGCGTCAGAGCGAGACTCCGTCTCAAAGAAAAAAAAAAAGAATTAAAAAACAGAAGAGTTAACTATATGAGACTGTTTTAAGAAAAAAATTGCCAATTTATTTAAAAGAGGATGGAGATAATTACACCAGAAAAATGTATAAAGAAGTGACACAGGGTTTGTATTTAATCACAGTGGTAGAAAATATCCCATAATTGCAAAAAAGATTGTAGCCTGAAAACTAGAAAGACACTTATGACCCTTTAAAGATTAACAGAGATTGATAAAATTATATCTAGACATAAACTTTTTTAGTCGTCCTCCTCGCATTTCTTTTGCTGGCCTAGTCCTGCCTTGGCCATGCGGGAGATTGTGTTTACCCAACTCGGACAGTACGGGAACCAGATCAGCGCAAAGTTCTGGGAGGTGATCTCTGATGAACATGGCATTGACTCTGCTGGCACCTACCACGGGGACAGTGACCTGCAGCTGGAACGCATCAATGTGTACTACAACGAGGCCAGCGGTGGCAGGTATGTGGCCCGCGCTGTGCTCGTGGATCTGGAGCCAGGCACCATGGACACAGTGCGTTCTGGGCCCTTTGGGCAGATCTTCAGGCCAGACAACTTCGTCTTTGGTCAGCGTGGGGCCTCGAACAACTGGGCCAAGGGTTACTACACAGAAGGCGCGGAACTGATGGAGTCGGTGATGGATGTTGTGAGAAAAGAAGCTGAGAGCTTTTTGCCTGCAGGGTTTCCAGCTGATCCACTCCCTGAGTGGGGGGACTGGGTCTGGGATGGGTAGCCTTCTCATGGACATAATTCGGGAGGAGTACCCAGACAGGATGATAAACACATTCAGCATCCTGCCCTCGCCCAAGGTGTCAGACACCATGGTGGAGCCCTGCAATGCCACCTTCTCCGTCCACCGGCTCATACAAAATGCAGACGAGACGTTCTGCATTGATAATGAAGCACTCTACAACATCTGTTTCAGGACCTTAAAACTGACTACACCCACCTATGGTGACCTGAATCACCTGGTATCTGCTACCATGAGTAGGGTCACTGTGTGCCTGCGCTTCCCAGGCCAGCTGAATGCCGACCTGTGGAAGTTGGCCATGAACGTGGTTCCATTTCCCCGGCTGCACTTCTTCATGCCTGGCTTTGCCCCGCTAACCAGCTGGAGCAGCCAGCAGTACCAGGCCATTACTGTGGCTGAGCTCACTCAGCAACTCTTTGAAGCCAAGAATATGATGGTCACCTGTGACCCCCATCATGGCCGCTACCTAACCGGGGCTGCAACTTTCAGAGGTCGCATGTCCATGAGGGAGGTGGATGAGCAAATGTTCAACATTCTGAATAAGAACAGCAGCTTCTTTGCTGAGTGGCTTCCTCACAGCGTGAAAACAGCTGTCTGTGACATCCCACCCTGGGGGTTAAAAATGTCAGCCACTTTCATCAGTAACAACACAGCAATTCAAGAGCTCTTCAAACGTGTCTCCGAACAGTTTACAGCTATGTTCAGGCGCAAGGCCTTCCTGCACTGGCACGTGGGCGAGGGAATGGATGAGATGGAGTTCACCAAGGCTGAGACCAACCTTAATGACCTGTGTCAGAATACCAGCAATACCACGATGCCACAGCTGAGGAGGAGGAGGTAGCCTAGAAGCTTCCTTTTCTAGGTAAAGGGGGAAGCAGTGTTGATTCTTTAGTGTGTTCTGATAACCATTGTCACTACGCACATCTTGTGTTTTCGTCTTCTCCTGCTGCATTTTAAAGCATTTTCATAGTAATTTGGCATAATAAAACATCTATATAGCAAAAAAAAAAAAAATTTTTTTTTAATAGTGGCAATTGGTATTTATTACAATTTTATACGGTCCTATCTTCCGTTCTGAGGTCTATACATGATCACACAAATGAACATGTGTTTCTTGGGGGCAAAGGACAGAGCTGGCTGTTGGTCAGGCCCCGTGCCTGGCTCCTCCGAGGGAGTGAGTGCCCGTCTCGCCATGGGATTAGCTGAACCATTACACGGCAAGCGAGGACATCAGAAGCGCAGCGTGGTTTCATTTGTCTGGGAGGACGATGGGGCACGGGGGGAGCTGGGGCTGGGGACAGGCATCTGAGGGGTCCAGGGCTGGGCCCAGGGAGATAGGGGACGGCAGACACCAGAGGGACCGTGGCGCCTCTTCCGCTGAGGAGTCGGGAGGGAGTAGGGACACTAGCTCTGGCTATGCGTGATGTCACGGTAGTCAAGACACTCAGCAGACACACCCTGGACCCAGCGTCTGTCCGGGCGAGAGGGCTGGGCAGGGGTTTGAGCCCTGAGGCTTCACTGCCTTTGGCCTGACTTGAGATCGAAGCCGAAGGCCGCTGGGGCTGGGGCTAGTGGCCAGGCGAGAGGAGGCCAGGTGGACAGAAATGTGACAGGAGGCAGTTCCTGGGCATACTGCCTCCTGAGATCCAGGCCTGGGTGCGAGGTCAGCGGCCAGGCAGTCCTGAGGAGGCTGCTGCCCTGGTCGAAGGACTGCAGCATGACCCTGGGCAGCTGTTGGGCTGGCACCCTCCAGCCCTCTACTTGCAGCTCAGTCCCCTGAGGGGCACCATGGACACCATGAACCAGCCTCTACCTCCTTCCACCCACCCAGGATTCAGGAGGAGTGGGGGCTGCTGGATTGCTCACAGAAGGAACTGTACTGGGACGGGATGCCGGAGCACGGTGGTCTCCCTGGGGTTACCACCCCACCAGCCAGAGGCACAGGCCCAGTCGGAGTTGGGGATGCTGCTCACGGGGGCAGGCGTCAGCAGAAACCTGGGCTCAGGAGATGAGAATGAGGGTCTGCCGGGCTGCCCAGAGGCCCAGCCACCCCAGGGCCCGGGTCCTGCGGCCTGGGATGGCCCATCTGGGGCCACAACTCCTGCACCCACTGCACGCCCAGGGACACCACCAGCGCCTGCCATGCCCACACCCATAGAGACGCGACTGGAGCCGGGCGCCACCCCCAGGAAGCCCTACATGTGCGAGCAGCGTGGCCGCGGCTTTGACTGGAAGTTAGTGTTTGTCATCCACCACCGGACACACACAAGCAGGCCAAGTTCTCAGTCCCCAGGGCAAGCCACTGGCGAAGGCACAGAGAAACCGCCGCAAGGGGAGCTGGCCTTTCCGCGCCACCCGCGATGGTCACTCACAGGCCCCCGGAGTTACTCATGCGAGGAGTGCGGGTGCAGCTTCAGCTGGAAGTCGCAGCTGGTCATCTACTGCAAGAGCCACGCGGGCCAGCGGCGCCACTTCTGCAGTGACTGCGGCCGCGCCTTTGACTGGAAGTCGCAGCTGGTCATCCATATTAAGAGTCACCGGCGGGAGGCTCCGTTGAGCAGCCAGACAGTGCAGTCCCTCAGGGCCTCAGTGTTCTCAGAGCCTGGATGCAGCCTCTGGGGCACCTGCAGAAGACTGGAGGCAGCAGGGGATGCTGGAGTGAACAAGGGGTCCCAAGCCAGTCCCCTTCCCCTGGCCCGCCTTCCCCCAAAAGACCTGGGTGTAAAGAAAAGGAGCTGCTTCCTCCCTTCTTGCCCCTTCCTCCTGGAGGGAAGTCGGGGTTCCCTTCTATGACTGGCCAGTGCCTGTGGGGTGACTGCCAAGCATCAGGCTCCCTCCCTTCCTGAGTCATGGCCCGGGCTGACAACACTCCCTCTCCTGGGACCTCCTTGCCTCAGGTGGGTGTTCAAAAACTGTGCCTTCCTACCCCTCTGTGCAGAGGCTGGGTTTGAGGTCTCAGTGTGGAGGGCAGCAGAAGACCCAGGAAAGCAAGGTTGGCTTCTGTTTCTCCTGCTCCGTGTGTGTGTTAGAATTTTAACATAAATTCCACTTTCATAATTTAAAAAAAAAAAAAAAGAGAGAGAGAGACGGAGTTTTGCTCTTGTTACCCAGGCTGGAGTGCAATGGTGCGATCTCGGCTCACCACAACCTCCGCCTCCTGGGTTCAGGCAATTCTCCTGCCTCAGCCTCCTGAGTAGCTGGGATTACAGGCACGCGCCACCATGCCCAGCTAATTTTTTGTATTTTTTTTTAGTAGAGACGGGGTTTCACCATGTTGACCAGGATGGTCTCGATCTCTTGACCTCATGATCCACCCGCCTCGGCCTCCCAAAGTGCTGGGATTACAGGTGTGAGCCACCGCGCCCAGCCTGACATAAACTTTTAAATTTTGAACTTTAATGATAAATTAAAAAATTTTAAGGAGACATAGGTTATAGGAGAGACAAGTATGCACAAATATGCAAATTATGACTTCATATATTTAGTAAACCAGATAATAAAAACCTGGGGCTGATGGAATAATATCTTTAAGATATTTAAGGTGAAGTTATGCCCAAGAGATCAGTTACTAGCTGAGTTGGACTTCCTGTTCTCTTTCCCTCTTTATCTCACTTCCTTAAAGTAGAAAGACTTTTTATTTATTTATATATTTATTTTGACACGGAGTCTCTCTCTGTTGCCCAAGCTGGAGTACAGTGGTGCCAGCTCCACTCACTGTAACCTCCCCCTCGTGGGTTCAAGTGATTCTCCTGCCTCAGCCTCCCAAGGGACTACAGGCACATGCCACTACACCCGGCTAACATATTTTTAACAGAGACAGGGTTTCACCATATTGGCCAGGCTAGTCTAAACTCCCAACCTCAGGTGATCCACCCACCTTGGACTTCCAAAGTGCTGGGATTACAGGCATGAGCCACCGCTTCTGGCTGTAGAAAGACTTTTATAGATCTGTAAACAGAAAAAATGTGTAGAGCAGATTTCAAGTTTGACATACAACTTCACGGTAGCTTGAAAAAGTACTTATAATGTGTTTAGAGAGCTCTTTTGAAAACAGAGTTATGAAGAATTGGATGAAGATTATTAATGTAGTAACTATGAGCAATTAGAATAATTGACTAATGTAAGCCCTAAGTGACAAAGAGAAAACAGAGAAAATTGCATTTCAGAATACTAACCAGTATTTCAAGATCCCTTTTGGGATCTTGAGATGGAGAGAAGACTAGAAATGTGGGGAGTGGAAGAGGAACACAGAACAGTTGTGCTTTCATTGCATTGAGAGCATCCAGAGTGGTTATCTGTTACTTTTGACTGTTCATTACTTTCAAACATAAATTACAGTAAATAAGGACATGTAGTTTTTTGTTTTTTGTTTTTTTTCTTGAGACAGAGTTTTGCTCTTGTCACCCAAGCTGGAGTGCAGTGGTGTGATCTTGGCTCACTGCAACCTCTGTCTCCCAGGTTCAAGCAATTCTTCTGCCTCAGCCTCCTGAGTAGCTGGGATTACAGGTGCCTACCACTATGCCCAGCTAATTTTTATATTTTTAGTACAGACGGGGGATTTCACCATGTTGGCCAGGCTGGTCTCGACCTCTTAACACTCAGGTGATCTGCCCACGTCAGCCTCCCAAAGTGCTGGGATTATAGGCGTGAGCCACTGCACCTGGCCAATAAAGTTGCCTTTTTTTTTTTTTTTTTTTTTAAGGTGGAGTCTTGCTCTGTCACCCAGGCTGCAGTGTAGTGGCACAGTCTTGGCTCACTGCTACCTTTGCCTCCTGGGTTCAAGTGATTCTCCTGCCTCAGCCTCCTGAGTAGCTGGGACTACAGGCATGTGCCACCATGCCAGCGAATTTTTAAATTTTTAGTAGAGATGGGGTTTCACCATGTTGGCCAGGATGATCTTCATCTCTTGACCTCTTGATCTGCCTGCCTCTGCCTCCCAAAGTGCTCGGATTACAGGCATGGGCTACTGTGCCCAGCTTATTTTTTTTGTAAGTAAAATGTTCTAAGTATGGTAAATGGTTAATGTTTCTGTATCTTTAAAATATTACTAAAAAAAGAAGACCTGGCCAGGCAAGATAGTTCATGCCTGTAATCCCAGCACTTTGGGAGGCCAAGGTGAGAGGATCACTTGAGCCTAGGAGTTTGAGACCAGCCTGGGCAACACTGTAAGACCTCATCTCTTAAAAGAAAAAAAAAAAAAAAAAAAAAAAAGAGACAGACTGTCCAATGTGGAAAATACATAAGATAGAAAAGATATTGTGAATTATTTAAAATAATAATTGCTTTTGGAAAGAGAAGAGCTATACATACATATATTGATAAATAAAGCATTAAAAACATATTACCGTACTTATAAAGAATACAATGAAAACTTATACTTTTTGATGAAGTACATGTTAGAATAAAACAGGCTGGTTAAGTATTTGCATAATTAATAAATACTAATACAAAATGTGAACACCCTAAATAAAAAGGCACCAAATTTATGTGGGTCTCCAAAGTAAATAGAAAATAATGGTAGCCGCTAATAATACAAAGCAAAGTCATAGTAGAGACAAGTGATAAGATACTCTTATCAGGGCAAGCATTTGAAGGTTTCCTCATAGAGCTGGTGAACTGGCTGAACAATGTCAGGAAGTGAGGTGGTTAAGAGTTTGGATTTTGGCCGGGCGTGGTGGTTCATGCCTGTAATCCCAGCACTTTGGGAGGCTGAGGCTGCAGATCATGAGGTCAGGGCGAGACCAGCCTGGCCAACATGGTGAAACCCTGTCTCTACTAAAAGTACAAAAATTAGTTGGACGTGGTGGCATGAGCCTGTAATCCCAGCTGCTCAGGAGGCTGAGGCAGGAGAATCACTTGAATCCAGGAGGCGGAGATTGCAGTGAGCCAAGATTGCACCACTGTACTCCAGCCTTGGATAGAGCAAGACTTTATCTCCAAACAAACAAACAAACAAACAAACAAACAAACAAACAAACAAACTTGGATTCTGCAGTCCCAGTGCCTGGTTTGAGTCCCGCCTCTGTCACTGTGTTACTTTGATTTTTACTTTCTCTCTGCTTCTCTTTCCCTGTGAGAGAAGCTGGAAAAATAATGGAACCTGCCCCTAAGCTCCTTGGGAGCGTTTCGTGACTGAGCATCTTTAAGCTGAAGCAGAGCGAGAGGTCTCTATATGTCAGTGTTACTGGCAATAGATGTAAGTAACACATGTGGCAGAAATTTTTTTTTTTAATTGCATTTTAGGTTTGGGGGTACATGTGATGAACATGCAAGATTGTTGCATAGGTACACACATGGCAATGTGGTTTGCTGCCTTCTGTCCCCTCACCTGTATCTGTAATTTCTCCCCATGCTATCTCTTCCCACCTCCCCACCCTCCGCCCCTCCTTCATTTCCCCCCAACGGACCCCAGTGCGTAGTGCTCCCCTCCCTGTGTCCATGTGTTCTCATTGTTCAACACCCGCCTATGAGTGAGAATATACGGTGTTTGATTTTCTGCTCTTGTGTCAGTTTGCTGAGAATGATGGTTTCCAGGTTCATCCATGTCCCTACAAAGGACGTGAACTCATCGTTTTTGATGGCTGCGTAATATTCCATGGTGTATATGTACCACATTTTCCCTATCCAGTCTATCATCGTTGGGCATTTGGGTTGGTTCCAGGTCTTTGCTATTGTAAACAGTGCTGCAATGAACATTCGTGTGCACGTGTCCTTGTAGTAGAATGATTTATAATCCTGTGGATATATACCCAGTAATGGGATTGCTGGGTCAAATGGGATTTCTATTTTTAGGTCCTTGAGGAATTGCCACACTGTCTTCCACAATGGTTGAATTAATTTACATTCCCACCAACAGTGTAAAAGTGTTCCTATTTCTCCACATCCTCTCCAGCATTTGTTGTTTCCCGATTTTTTAATAATCGCCATTCTAACTGGTGTGAGATGGTATCTCAATGTGGTTTTGATTTGCATTTCTCTGATGACCAGTGATGATGAGCATTTTTTCATATATTTGTTGGCCTCCTGTAAGTCTTCTTTTGTAAAGTAGCTGTTCATATCCTTCGCCCATTTTTGAATGGGCTTGTTTGTTTTTTTCTTGTAGATCTGCTTTAGTTCTTTGTAAATTCTGGATATCAGCCCCCTGTCAGATGGGTAGGCTGAAAAAATTTTTTCCCATTCTGCTGGTTGCCGATTCACTCTACTGACTGTTTCTTTTGCCGTGCAGAAGCTGTGGAGTTTGATTAGGTCCCATTTGTTTATTTTGGCTTTTGTTGCCATTGCTTTTGACGTTTTGGTCATGAAGTCCTTGCCTACACCTATGTCCTGAATGGTTTTGCCTAGATTTTCTTCTAGGGTTTTTATGGTGTTAGGTCTGATGTTTAAGTCTTTAATCCATCTGGAGTTAATTTTGGTGTAAGGTGTCAGGAAGGGGTCCTGTTTCTGCTTTCTGCACATGGCTAGCCAGTTTTCCCAACACCATTTATTAAACAGGGAATCCTTTCCCCATTGCTTGTTTTTGTCAGGTTTGTTGAAGATCAGGTGGTTGTGGGTATGATGTATTTCCTCTGAGGCCTCTGTTCTGTTCCATTGGTCTATATCTCTGTTTTGGTACCAGTACCATGCTGTTTTGATTACTGTAGCCTTGTAGTATAGTTTGAAGTCCGGTAGTGTGATGCCTCCTGCTTTGTTCTTTCTGCTTAGAATTGACTTGGCTATGTGGGCTCTCTTTTGGTTCCATATGAAGATTAAGGTGTTTTTTTCCAGTTCTGTGAAGAAGGTCATCGGTAGCTTGA